TTCTAGCATTGCTACAACGGCTGACTACGAAGGACAACGATGATGCCGGCGAAGGCTGGGACGACGACCACTACTCACACCAACAAACATCGCACTAGCTGCTAGTACAGATGCATAGCCCGCAGATCGCCAGAGTGGGACGATACAGCTGTTCTGTGCCTACGGCCTGGCCTAGGTTCGCATGTTTGGAAAGCTAGATCTTCTCAAAGGAAACACAACATTCGCAACAATCAAAGACCGATTCTCCTAGCTTCTTATGGAGCTCGATGTGCACCCACGAAACCCCACTCGTACAAGGCTTGCTGCATGGAGACCTATCCCAAAGGCAACACGGCCCTGGCTCCTCTCAACTTCTCGCACCAAGCACTCTTTTGACCCTATTCGGGGCATTGGGTTGAAGGGTTTTTGCGCAACGGACCTGAAGCATTGTAGCCAGCTTGAAGAGTGTGAGGGTAAGTGGAATCCATGTAAATCCTATGCCCGAACCCTGCAGTAGAGCGACCGGGCCTTCCCCTGCATGTTTAGCAGAGCGAGTGCGAAAGGCCACCTTGAGTTTCCCGAGTTTCGGGTCGAGAGCTACTAGGTCAGGAATCTGGGGGTTGGGGGATCTGAAGGTTTGGAGGTGTTTCAAGTCTTATGGGCTCGGGTGCAGCGTTTCTGCGGATGGGTCCTTGGATGGCGTCGGTGTGCTGTTCTTTTGGACTTGCTGTTCTGACCGGAACCAGTCATCGCCTGCCATGCATTCAATGCACCCGCCCCACATGCACAAGCTGGTGCAGAAATAAAAAACATATCGCAGCACCGGCTTTCTGCACTTTGGACCATAAAGCTTCGAACCCTAGCATACCCAAGCTGATGCAAACCAAAGGAGGGTCTGATGTTGGTATCTCAGGATGCGCACGGGGGCCGCCGCCGAAGGAGCATGCTGTAGGCCTTGCACTGCCGAGACTTAAACTTTCGGAGCCAGGCAAACGGTCGGCCTCACAAGAGGTGGCCAAGTACATCAGGTCTCTATTCAAATCTGCCTGCCGTGATCCGTAAACCTGCTGATGTGGCTGATTCTCTCTTTTCACATGCGGGATTTGGTGACAACTGAAGCATCGAACACAGCAAGCAAACAGTGCCTTCACTGCTGCGGACAACCACCCATTTCGCACGTAGGTCCTTCGCCCAAAGCATCTCTCATGCTCTGTGCCGCAGTATGGTCCATCTTCCTCAACGCTTCCAACTTCATGCCACATGCCTGCTCAAAACTTCGCAGTTCTGAAGACTCCAATGCTTCCTTCAGTAACTGACCCGGGCCGACAGTGCCTATTCTGTCAAGTATCGCTTCAAGAATCCCGAGCGAATCAGAACAGCAAAGTCCTCCTGAAACCATCAGTTTCTTCTCGAACGTCTTAATAGCCTCCACACAGTGCTTTCCCTCAAAGCGCACGTTGTTCCGATCGGCTGCCCAGTTCAAGAAATGTAGTGGCACCATCGTGCAAGGCAGCTCGTAGCATTTCTTGTATCGCCGATCTTGACCTCTGACCATGCCGAAGCGCTTTCGCGGTGAACACATGTCGAATTGCGCGGCAGTCAAATCCAATATCAGTCGTGCATTTTGGTCGCCCGGCGACGCCCCAGGCAAAGGAATCTCCAGCCACACGTGGTTTCGAGATTCATTATGCACTCGCTGGCTGTGCTGCCAATAGACCTGCCCAAAATTCTGCTTGATGTGCAGACGTCGATATGCATGAACAACAAAGCCCACACATAGAAACATGCCGGCTATGTCTGCACCTTGGAAAACCGGCGTGCATTGGCCGGCCATTTGGTTTAATACGTCTGCAAAGATGTAGTTTACCTCAGAGCATCTGCTGCACAGCGACATCTTGTAGAACAGCCTTTCGGATTCGCCGAGTTCGAGATCGCACCAAGTCCGGGGATACAGTCTGTCTCTGGGAAGCGTTTGCGGATCCAACTCCTCAGCTTTTTTGGTGACCTTCAGCTTTCCCAGCCTACGAACCACGGGATATGCGTCAGGACCTTCGACAAACTCCTGTAGAACCATGCTGGCAAGAGACTCCAGATCACGAAGGTCACTCTCCCAGGATGCAGTGAGCTGTGAACAGCAAGCCAATGGGGAGAGGTTGCCGGGTTTCAAACTGACCATATCCTCACTGCCCTCGATCTGCACTACCCAACGCTCTCCCAGAAACTGTGCCAACGATGCCTTTTTCCCATTAAGGTCGGAACGGCTCTGCAACCCGTGCACTTGCACGAAGGAGCCCGGTGCCAGGTGCCAATAGCCTTCCGGCATCAGAAGCTGCAAGTTTGAGGCCTTGAGGCTCACAAAGAGTTCTTGTCCGTCAATTTTGGTTCCCCAGCGATCACCACCCATGTCCTGGGTGAGCCTGCCGGTGCAGCCATTCAGCTCCGGCTTCCGCTGCAGTCCATGCAGTCGTACAGCAGCCCCGACTGCAAACACTGCCGTGACATCCCAGATGTCCGTCTCCATGGCGCTTTCTTCTTGTAGCATCTGGCCCTACAGCTCTTAAACGACAAAAGTCTTTTGTGGAGCGTGCAATGACTACATGGATTATGTCTGCACCGGCTTCTGGCGAGTCCTCATGGGTAGCCAGCTGGTTTGCAAGGATAACGATTCACATTGTTGAATTATGCCGCGTAGATCTCCTATCACTGATAGCGCACAATGACGATCATGACCATGACGACCGCAACAACCAACAAAAGGAGACGACGAGGAGACCACTAGGAGCGGACCCCACCAGGAGACGGAGGAGAATCAAGGAGACCACGAGAACACGGCCAAAATGCTTTTGCCCCAAGTCCTGGCGGCCTTCAGGTCCGTCAAACCCTGACAGGACGACCAAAATGCTCCCCCAAATATGGGCAGATTTACACGCACTGGCGAGGATGCCGGAGCACGGTCAAAATGCTTGCCCCGGCAGGACTCCTGTGGGAGGCCAATAAGCTTTCTCCCGGATACTGGCGGGATTCCAAGTTTTCCAAATCAATCGGAATTTACAACAAGTCCGGCATTGGCGGCCGCCCAGATCCCTTGTAATTTCAAGGACGTAAGCGCAAACTGCGCACCGGCATTTGGAGCCGCATCCGGGATCTCCTCCGCACGCGCTGTCCTCCCCTACTCTTGAGGATAAAACTCCAGAGTATGTATCACTCTGTTTGGGAAATAACGGAGAAACGTTTCAGTGGAAACGACGAACATCTCACCTCTCAATGATTACCTTTTCCTGTAAGACCGATGCAATAGTCTTGACACTTCATGCCATGGAGTCACTGCAGTCATTGTGTGGGGAAGCAGGCAGTAGCTGCCAAATCGCGTGTTGGATCTCTAGTGACGAATGCTGAGCTTGAATCTCATTTCTACTGTTGGGGCTCCAGAGCTGAAACCTCGGTTTCGAACGCCTGAGTGACATCCTTCCAACCGGTGTCCGAAAAATGAAGTGTGCGTGAGCAGCATCAGGACGGCAATATCTTACCAAGGGACCTCCTTCGCTCGGTGGTATTGACCCTGCCTATGTTATCTAAACCGATGAGATCTCATGGGTTGGGTTGGGAGTCCACTGCCCTACATCAACCACGGGGGGCTACGCCTGCCTAGATGGGCGAATGCTGCGAAAGATCTGTCAACGCAGAACATGTATCAGGACTCAGGACTTTCTGGCTGGCAGCTGCACGCTTTCCCTTCTATGCACATTCCCACAACCCTGGGAACGGGACCCTAGCCCATCCCAAAGGAGTGATGCCTTGATGCTCCGGGACTGCGTGGCGGAGAGGAGAGCCAGGCAAAGAGTCCAGCCGCCCTGTCAGGACAAATTCCGGATGGAGGACTCCCGTAGTGAGTCTCTTATAGTTACCTACGTTACTGATGTTGCACTGCTGTTACGTGGTGTTGTGTTGAGATTGAAAACAAATGTCTGGTTTGTGTTCTGGGCAGTGTCGGTTGTTGTTTCTCCTGTGTTTGCCCTTATGGCGTGGTGCGGCTTCGGAGGTGTGGCATGCAGGCTTAGCTTCATCATCCTGCTGTGGCAAGAAAATGAACAGCTGGGTGCACATATGCATTCGTATATGTATGTATGTATGTATGTATGTATATTTGTTCCGGCCATATTTCTGTGTCTTCGCTTCGCTTCGCTTCTCAGGGGTTAGGTTCGCACGCGAACCCGGGCCTGGGCCCCCCTTCCCCGTTTAGGCGGTGGAAGAGGCTTTGGGGTTTTCAGCGGTAGGGAGATTTTGCCGATTTTGCCCTAGTGGAAGGTGCGACCAGTGAAGTACGGCTGGCGAGGAACCAACCCTCCCTTTACTTTAACGCGCGTCCCGGCCTCGTCTCCGCGCTCTCTTAAGCTCAGTCCTTAGTCCCTCGCCAGCCAAGTACTCCCCCCACGCAGAACCACCGCGGCCGGTAGACACTCCCCCTATGCAGCAACACGGCTAAGCACAGGACGTTCAGGGAGTGTGGGGTAATCAGTGCGCAGACAGCGTAACACAAGTACAGGTTCGTTCCCCCTTCGGCCACATTAGTCAGCTAGTTCGGGTCTCCCGCGTGGTTAGTAGGAAGCAACAGCGAAAACAAGCAACCGTGCAGGTAACGAAGACGGCGGGTTCCCGTTTCGAGAGGTAATGTAATAGCCGGCAACAGTAGGGAGTGGTAATCCCCTCGTTGGGGTCCCCCGCAATATGTCGCCCCTCAGAACTCTAACACGAATGTTGTGGGTGTGTCCCCTCAAAGTTCCTGTTGAATTTGGGCACTCGGCCCATGCACTGGGGTGGGTTATGGCTCAGCGGCCCGTCCTATTACTTAGGTAGCAAGTTGGCTTCCCAAGGTCATGCAGGCTATGGGGCCAGCAGCAAGCACGAAAAGCCCTAAAGCAAACACCCCGCGCTACACATGCAGACTCTTCACAGGCAGTCGGCTCCCTTGCAAAACTGTGACGCACACGCTACTATTGAAGGGTGGCAAAATGCCTTCCCCCGGTTGGAAAATTCCCCCTTCACGCTCACTGCTTGTAGTTCTCGGTATCTTCCCCACGCATGTGTGCTTGCACACGTCGTATAGCTCTCCATGTGGGCCCTGGTACCAGTCGGGCTCGTTTTGGGCTGCGGCTCGGTGTCCTGGGTTTGGCCGCTCCCCCTGTGGCTGCTCTGGTTGGGCTCCTCCCTTCTCGCGTCTCCCTCCGTCGTCTCGGCCCAGCACTGGAGCTAGCTGGTGTCCTTCTTGGGCCTCGTCTTGGAGCTGACGGCTGCGCTTCCCCCGGCTGCGGTGTCGTGTTCTTCTTGTGGCTGCTGTCCTCGTCGCTCCCCCAGTCGACCTCGGCCTCCCTGAAGGTAGTTGTCGTCGTCGCTGGCCGGTCCATCCCCCGGCTGTCTGGCCGAACCTGGGAGCTTCTTGCTGCTTCTGCACCAGCTGTTGGCTTAGCGCTGGTCCCCTCCTTTGTCACACGGCCTTGTTCCTTTCCCCCACGCAGCTTCTTGGTCTTCTTGTCCTTTTTGGCTTTCTTGTTCTTGGCTTTCTCCTTGTGCTTCTTCTTCTTTTGGGTTTTCCTTTCCCCATCCTTCTCTGTGTGCGGCTCCGGCGTGTCCTTGAACTCCTGCTTGGCTTGGCTTAGGAGTCCCCCAACTTTCCATGGGTGCTTGAATTGGCGATGTAAAGGAGCAACTCCTTCATCACCTTGGGGTTCCCCTTCTTCACGATGGCGACCAACTTGTCCGCTTGGCGGCCTGTTTCCCTCCGGGCGTTGTGTCTCTGGACGTACTGCTGCCATTCTTGTGCGTCGCCTTCAGCCAGGATCTCCCCCGTTGCGAGGTCGTGAAAGTTCCCCCTTTCGCCAGTTTTTCTGGATACTTCTCCCTATCCATCTGTCGAGTGGGTCCGGCTCGTAGAGTAGTGTCACCCCCTGTTCACTTTCGAAGCGCACGTACTCCTCGTAGGGCCTGGTTTTCCCTGCCACTTGGCAGGATCCCCCGCCTCTAGGCTGGTACAAGTCGTGCTCGTCGGCCTCCTCCGTCAGCTTCCGCATGTCGCTCGGTGCTGCTTTGTTGCCTGTAACAAGTGCTCCCGCTGTCGTGGGATTTGTGGTAGAAGGGGCCTTCCAAGCAAGCTCTGCAGGTAACACCCATCCCCCGCAGTCGTTCAGCCAAGGCGCATTGTTCCTGCCAGGTGGTTTTGGTCTTTGCCGGCATGGCTTCCGGTTCTCTTCGAACTCGGCTTCTCCCCCTAGTTGGGGTTGCATCTCCCCGCGGCTTGGGTCGGGATGCTGAGCTTGACATACTTGGCAATGTCGAGGTAGTGCAGCAGGATCTCCAGGGTACCGTGTCGGAATAGTATGCTTCACCCCCCTACTGGCGGGCCACCCTCAACGAGGGGCCGCGGTCAGGTTCGGAAGGATGCGCTTGCTTTGGGGCCTCTTAAGCAAAATGGCGTCGGGCACAGGACTCAAGCGCCTGCTGGAGAAGACGCAAAGGCTCCCCCGAGGTTACAGCCTCAGGTCAACCCTGCGCCTCCCCCCCGATGCCAGGAGGGTGTACAGCCCTCCAAGACAAAGGTGCAGACACTTGAGCCAAAATGGCTACTGTGTCTCTCTCTCTCTCTCTCTCTTTCGACAAGGCTCGGGTGTAGGGAGTTTTATTCCCAACACCGCGCGCACGTGCGCCCCGACAGTTCTCTCTCTCTCTCTCTCTCTCTTTGTTTCCCTCTCCCTCTCCCTCGCTCTCTCACTCTCGCTCTTTCGCCTCCGTCTCCCTCGCTCTTTCACTCTCTCGCTCGGTTTCTGTACCAGAGGTCCAGAGGAGAGAAGCAGGCAGAGTCCCAGATAATCGCATCCTTGTAAAGTCGCATCCTTAGAAAGCCTACTTATTTTGGGACCCTTACTAAGTCTGGTGGTTGCCCGTATGGCCTGGAGCGCCGCCAAGAGGTCCAGCAGCTCACGGGGTGTGGGCCCCAGGCCCAAAGCCAGCAATCTGAGCAGGGGTGTAGCAGCGCAGGGCATTTTAGGACTAGGGTTTGGGGCCTTGTGGGTTAAAGCTTTACTGGGTTGGGGCACAGGGTGTTGTCGGTTGAGCATGTACGCCAGTAAATCAAACTGTTATGGACCATGGTAGAAGCTCCCCGAACCGTGAGTGTTATCGCTCTTGCAAATATTTGGTCACGTAGCATTAATTTGCAATAACTGCGACTCGCGACTACGGGCATTGCAGGCTTCTTCTTTACTAACTCTTGTCTTAATGCCAATGTGCTTGTTCATGCCAATGTGCTTGTTCATGCATTTCTGGCTACTGCCAATACCATAGCCAGTACAACCGATCATCATGGCCCGTGCTAACATCTTGTCTTCAATGCAGATCATTCACACACTTTCTCTGCCTTCTGAGTGCAATGAGCTCAGCGTGCATGTATATATGTGTTCCTCCGGGAGTGCGGGCGACGTGCAGCGGCATGCAAAGTATGTTCTTTGTGCCAGTTTTTTGGCGCGGACG